TTTTTTTTTTTTTTTAAAACTTGGACATGGTTTAACCTGTAGATTAAAAGTGGCCTAGTAGGCAGGGCACACAGAGTGGGTGTAAATGTCGTAATTACGTTTTAAGGTTTACTGACATTGAATGTGCAAGATACAAAGATGCTCTACGTATCCTATGGGAATGCATTTCACTGTTATTTGGGGGGTGATTTTCGACGTGTCTTTGTATTTCCTGCTCTCTGACAGGAGTGCGCATGGCTGGTCCTTTGCATTTTAGAGACGTAACAGTTAAAGATGAGTTTTTCACTCTTCAGTGATCATGACTACATTTTTGTGACCATCTAGCTGGCCACTGTATGTGACAGGTGTTGGATGAGCACTTCCCGGGGTGGGGGTGGGCCCAAGACAGGTGGACGCATTGCTGGCCACTCACTGACCCTATTCTTTCACATGGGATCCGACCGAAACCACTGCTTTGGGTGATCTTGGGACGATCAATTTGTAAAGACACCTGGCATCCCCTGGAGACTGTTTTCAAGGGGGTGAGAAATCAGGAGTGAGCCAAGGCTGATGTTTAAGTTCTGCTATGCTCAGGGCCCTTTGGTCGTTTACATAATCGAGTCACAGAATCAGAACTTAAATGCTAAACTTGGGGGGGGGGGCTTCAAAACATCCACACGGCACCCATCTATTCCCCGACTGCGTGGTGGTGAGGAGCTGGGACTCTGGGACCAGACTGTCAGTCCGCGTTTGAATTCCTGGCTTCTCGTTATTAGCTGTGTGTCCCCAGGCAAGTGTCTGAGCCTCTCTGAGCCTATGTTTTCTCTTCCCCCCCCCAACCATGTAAATATAATAATAGTGATATCTCTGCGGATAGCCTGGCCTAAGGTAGATGCTCTCCCGTATTGCACCAATGGGCGTGCAAGGCAGCGAAGAGGTCAACTTTCCACACGGCCCCAGAGACCCAGACGCTCCCCACGCGTCTACCTTCCATGGACTGAGAAGAAAACCTAAGAGAAATGAAAGTACAGTCCCATTTGTAACAGTCCCTGGAGTTGACACCCGGCTTACGTTAGGGACCTCGGCTATAAAACGAACATTCTAGAGAAGAGAAAACTGTGGTTGCCACATTTTAAAATCCAGTTTTATGCCCCAAAGGTGCAAATACATTCACAGCTCGTTTAGGCCCCTTTGGTAAAGCCCTTGTGGAATAAATGGCTATTATTCACCTGTCAGGTGTCCTCTGCCATTAGCCCTTCCTTCTGCAGGTGTCTGTAAGGAACGGGCTGTCTGGTCACTTCTGCCGGGTACCTGGGCTCTTTGCTTTTACTATTTACACTTATTCACTCTTTTCTGGCAGGTTTCTCCACAAAATTTCTACTGAGTTAGTTACTTCTTTCCTAGTCAGTCAGCACTTATTCACCTGTTAACGCACATACTTTGAGAGTGCAGAGCGACATTTAAGAGCCCTGTGGTCTGGGGACAGCGGAGGAATGTAGCTGCTAAAAGGAGCGTGTGCTTGTCTGTTTCATTTATTTCCTATGTGAAGGCTGACACCGAATGGCTCTGATATGCCGGGAGACTCCTGCAGACTTTTCTACATGCAGCAGCCTGGCTGTCGCCGTGTGTCCTGACCGGGATGCTGTGATCTGATTATCAAGCCTTAGCCAGGGAGTAAAGGAGCCCCCGGGCATTTGGATACGTCGATGGTATCAGTGCATTTACCTCCCGAGAAAATGCTGTTCGTGGCGAGGAGACACTTAGTGAACATTATCGCGTTTGAAGGAAAACTGGTGAGATTTCATCTCGGGCCCAGACGTGTGGGGAGGGAGGGGCTGTGGGAATGTCCCCTGCACACCCCTGCTCATGGCACACGCCAGGGAGGGTCACGTGCCAGGACTGCCCGCCGCACAGCCTCACGCAGAAAGGGCGACACGTTCGCCTGCCTGATCTGCAGCTGGAACAGGAGGGTGCTGCTCCGCCGGCGGAAAGGAGCAGGTGCGCCCGCGGGTTCGCGGACAGCGGAGGCCCAGCCGCCGCTCGCCTCCCGGCGAGGAGAGACACGGCGTTCCCACTGGGAACTTCCACAGGCGGGAAGTCCCGTTATCACTGTTTCCCTGACCACAGGCTGTGTGGCGAGCAGCCTCCAAGAGACAGGGAAACGCACCCGACCTCTACGGAGACAGTCTCATGCCTCAGCCACCCTCAGGGGCAGGAAAGTAGCTTAAAAAATCCCCAAGTGCTGGCCTCTCGGCCGCAGGCCTGAACCGGGGGGCTGGGACCTGCACCCCAGCGAACGGCGCAGCCTGGCCCTGGGGGGACCGGAGACGCGGTACCTTCTCTCCGTAGCCGCGGTCCTTCGTCATCATCTCCCTGAGCGTCTGCAGGACCTTGATGCAGAGCTTCTCCTCGTTCTCCTCCAGCAGCTGCTTGGTGTGCTTGATCAGCCTGGGGGGACACGGGCACCCCACGACCTTCAGCCGACCCCGCCCCAGCAGCTGAGACCCCGGCCCTGAGCTGTTAGGATGGTGTCTCAGCGGCGACACCTGCTGGCTGGTGACAGTAAACGCCCTC